AAATTAAGAAATCATTGTTTGGAAGAAAGTGGCTTGGTAAATGTATAGTAACAAAATGTTGGAGAGATTTAATTTTTTCGACAACATAACACCGGAATAATGTAAATTATTTAGTATCGTGTTACCAAAATTAGTCGTGTAAAGAGATGAAATAGTTAATTTAGGATTAGTTTTGGTAATATATTAGGGGTGTAATGAGAATTACATTTTCTAGTGGTGTAATGAGATGGAGGGTGTAAAGAGGTTAAATAGTGGTGTAAGTAGAATTGTCCCAAAAAAATAATATATCACAAATAGAGGAATAATTCTATTTCCACATACTAATTCTCCTCAAGGGTGATTCTACTTACACCATTACTTTATCTCTTTACACCTTCCATATGAGTTTTTCTTCTTCTTCTCAATTTTATCCATGTGTGAAATTACCTTTAAGGACAAAATACTAAAATTAAATATATTTTGTTATCCCCTTACACCCATTGGTCTTCAATCCCCACTCTTCTTTTTCCTTTATTAATTTTTCTTTTCTCTTACATATCTCTTTAAAAAAGTGAGAATCAGAATATTTTGATCATTAAAGAAAGCAATGGATGAAGAAACGGTGGCGAAGAACCATCAAAAAAGTAAAATGGTGAGTTTTTTTATTTATTTGATAGGCTTTTGTTTCATTTTTATGGACTGGTGTTCAAATTTCGTTTGGTGGTTCGAAATCGAACAAAATAAAATAGTCCAACATCACATTGCTAAACAAAAAATATAAGTTTGGTAACCAACTACCGAATAAAAGATACATTTCTAGTAACCCCAAACTGAATTTTTTTAATTTGTTCGGCTTCTCATTACCATGTATTTTCAGTTTTATTTTTTTATATTTTTTATTTTTTTGCCTGAAATGATTATATTTATACTCATTGCAACAACGCAACTACTGCAATATTAGTGAACTTTAGTCATGAATTCATTACAGATGAGGTTTGTTAAGTTTTTTTTATGAATACGATTTTTTTTTTAATTTATATTGAGTTTTATTAATAATTTGACGTATAAATATATTTATTATCTTTAGATTTTTAGTAGTCGTGAAGTATTAATGAAATGGGCTTCTAACATTGGGAAGAATACTGAATTTGTCATTATTATAAAGACATTAGATGCGGGAGGTAATGACAAAAAACCATGACTTACACTTGCTTGTGAAAGAAGTGGTTACTACAAAGACAACACGAAGATTAAGGGGGGACGATTGAGGTTGACAGGTTCTAAAAAGTGTGGATGTTTATTTCTATTAAGAGGGGAAAAATTACCTACAAATTACCAAGACAAATTGTGATAACATGTTTGATTGATGGATGCAAACAATTACAGATTTATGAATACATTATGGATATTCGTACCCTTGATGTCTTTATGAATAATTTTATGGGCACTTTTTATGTATGATTTTATGGATGCGTGTTTGATTTATGAATTTTTTTATGAATGCTTCAAGGAAAAACTAAATCTTTCAATGTACAGTGATGGAGGCCTAAACAACTCTATTGTAGTTTGGCAACATGACACTAGAGTAATCCTATTTGTATAGCAATGTATTACTGAACAGGCACTTCACAAGTGGCCCAAATTAATTACTTGTTATCATCTAATTGGACGGCAACATAATGTTGGGAAAAAAAATATTGTTTGGTAACATGGTATTAGAGTAATTTAAATTAATTAGCGTTGTATTACCGAATATACCTACCACAAATTAAGAAATCAATGTTTGGAAGAAAGTGATTTTGTAAATGTATAGTAACAAAATGTTGGAGAGATCTATTTTTTCCAACAACATAACACCGGAATAATATAAATTATTTAGCATCGTGTTACCAAAATTAGTGGTGTAAAGAGATGAAATAGTTAATTTAGGATTAGTTTTGGTAATATATTAGGGGTGTAATGAGAATTACATTTTTTTCTAGTGGTGTAATGAGACGGAAGGTGTAAAGAGGTTAAATAGTGGTGTAAGTAGAATCACCCTTCTCCTCAGTACACACTTAATGAACACTTTCTCAATGCACATATTTTTTTTTTGAGGATATCAATGCACATATTATAAAAATATAAATTCTCATTACACATCTCTATATTCCAATATTACCCTCATTTTCAATATTAAAACCCTAAGGCTATATATTTGGTTTCAATTTTTGAATCAATTTTTTGAAATTTTTATGAGAAAAATATAAATTAATTTGATAAAAAATAAATACCAAAAAAATATTTTTTAATTTTTAAAATTTTTTATCCCTAAAAAGATAAAACCATATTGAAATACGAAGGTTATTTATTTATTTTTTTTAAATATATTCTAACACTATACCAAAAAGAGTCTATTTTTATTTTTATTTTTTCCATTCATCCAATCATCTTTTACTATTGTTGCTGTTACTTTCAACACACACCACAACGTTCCATTTTTATCTTTAGTCCCACACCACTTAATACACACCTCAAATTATTTATAAAAAAAAAATCTAACTCATTTTCACGGCGGTGTAGTCGGCGACGAAGGGCCGTTGAGGCTTTCGAATGCGTTTAGCATCGATTGAGGCGAACCGGACAAAACCTAGGGCTTTCGAGTCAACACAAAATACAAAATCACAACTCATTTTCACGAAATCGACACCAAAACCTAGAAGAAATCGAAAGCATACCTCGAGATTTTGAGGAGCAGAGGCCATTTTCAACCAACTGACAAGTCAACCAGGCGAGTAGTTCCTCCTCGTCGCTCTCGATCTCGATTGAACCCAAAACAAACTCAACATGCGAGTAGGAGCCAAAATCGTAAAGGAAGGCAAAGTTGGAGCCAAAAACAGAGTTAAGGCCATTTTTGTTGAAGTTTTCTTTGCCCATGAGTATGTCGTCGTCGGTGAAGAACTCTGAGTGAAGCCAAAACTCTCCGTTGTTGAAAGTAGGAGCAGTCATAACGGCAAAACAACCCAAAAGAAAGGCTAATAGTGAAGAGATGGTGAGAGAGAGAGAGAGAGATCGTCGGTAAGGGTTTGTGATGATGAGGATTCGCCGAAACTGGAGATGGGCGATGAGGCAACGGCGATGGCCGCAACAATGGTTGCTAGGGTTAGGGTTTGGATATTGTGTATTCAAGGTGTGTATTGATATTCTTTTGTGATCATTTTGGTCATTTTAGGTAAGGTTATTATTGTAATAAAAAATAATCAATTAATGGTGTACCTTGAAACAAAATGTGATATGTAAATAGAGGCACCTGACTTTCAACCCTCCATCGCCACCACCATCGCCACTTCTAGCTCATCCCTCTTCATCATAGACTTCCACAGTCAACATGGAGTGATTCGTAGTGAGAGACTTGTGGGAGTGTATGGTTCATGAAGGAAAATGATTACAGGTGGATAAGAAAAGAGGCAACGGGAGGGGATAGCGGATGAAAGAGGTGGCACTGGAGATAAAGAATGGTTGTGGTGTTTTAGAAATAGGGTTTGAGTAGAAAAAGATGAGCGTATTATAGTATTTTTATTTTAGGACAAAATTGTATTAATGAAAAATTTCATTAAGTGTGTAAACTGAATAGAATTAGTGGGTAGAAATAGAATTACCTAAAATAGAGAGGGTAAAAAGATAAAGGGTAAATTACACTTTGCTCCCCTAAAATTTCACCCATTTTCACTTTGGCCCTTTAAGTTTAATTGTTTTCACTTTGGCCCTTTATGTTTGCAATCTTTCTCACTTTAGCCCCTTAAGTTTAATTTTCCCACTTTGACCCTTCATATTTGCAATTCTTTCCACTTTATTCCTTAACTAACTTCCATCCAAAAAACTAACAGAATTTGCCACATTGCTAACACATTAGCTCTATGTATGATGTAAAAAATTCACTAAAGATGAAAAAAAATAAAAAAATAGAAAACAAAAACTTATAAATTTTTTTTTAGTCCTTAGTGAACTTTTTTTTTTCAAATTTATTCATAAACATTATTACATTAGCTAAAAAAATAAAAACAAATTTAACTAAAACAAGAAAAAAAAAATTTACTAAAGACGAACAAATATGAAAATATATTTATTCAAACACCTGTATTGTCAATTATGAAATAAAAAATTTACTATCATTTTTTTTTTAATCTTTAGTGAACTTTTTTTTTTTAGCTACATCTAATCTAGATGCATCTATAATGTAATAATATTTATGAATAAATTTCAAAAAAAAAAAATCACTAGAGACTAAAAAAAATCCTTTTTTTTTTTGTTTTTTTATTTTTTGCATCTTTAGTGAATTTTTTACATTACATATAGAGCTGATGTGTTAGTGATGTAACAAATTCTGTTACTTTTTTAAATGGAAGTTAGTCTAAGAGTAAAGTGGAAAGTATTGCAAATATGAAGAATCAAAATGGGAAAGATTACAAACATGAAGGCCAAAATAGGTAAAAATCAAATTTAAAGCGCCAAAGTGAGAAGGATTGTAAATATAAAGGACCAAAGTATGAAGGATTGTAAACATAAAGGGCCAAAATAAAAAAAATCAAACTTAAAAGGTCAAAGTGAGAAATAAGTGAAATTTTAAGAGGGCAAAGTGTAATTTACCCAAAGATAAATGTGTCATGGAAATAGGATTTTTCAAAAACAAAATCACTAGATAGAAATACCCCACTTATATTCACATAATCAAAGATTGCTCAATTCACACCATTTTACTGTTTCAAAACCTCCAAACAAAAACGATTTCCGCAAATGTAGGTAGTTGATATCCAAGCACTTTATTTTTATTCAGAAATTAATATTAGAACGACACAAATAGAAAAAAATTGAGCCAAAATAGAGTAGAAATAGAAACTACCAACTTCTTGCCTTCCAGTAAGACCCAGGAGATGCCCAAAAAACACAGCACACAAACTAAAACAAAGACTACCATTTTATTTATATGAAAAAATAAAAATAAAAATAAAGTTTTTAACCCTCAAAAAGCAACACCGCACTATACAAACATATAGCATATATAGCTTCATGGAATAAGAAGGTGGGAAGTGGGAAGTCATATGAGATTCATACAAGTTCTCTGCTAATTACCATAGAATATCCCCTTGTACTGGAACAGTATAACATAGATCTGAACAGTCATTAAAAACAAAACCTTAATAAAAGGATGGATGCTTCCATCTAGCAAGCATTTTAAAGGAGAAAGGAACATCATCTACTTCTAATCCAACTTTCCTAACACCAACCACCGATATCAAAAAATTTCAGCGATATGCACCACCATACATCTGAGCTGAAGCATCATACTGAGGGGGGTAGCCAGGCTGGGGTGACAGACTTTTCCCATAACCGCCACCAACAGGTGCGGGCCCAGCCCCAGGTACACCACTACTTCCATAACCACCACCTGAATGTGGGACAGACTGATCATAGCCCGGTTGCTGCGTTGGAGCGGGTTGAGCATACCCAGCTTGCCCAGTCGGTGGTGCACCATAATAAGCTGAACCAGGAGCACCACTGTAAGCTGGATCTGCGGGGGCACCTTGGTAGCCACCATAGCCTGCATTGTTCTGAGTAGGTGGTTGTTCAGTGTAACCAACTTGTTGTGAAGATGGGTATGAACCATAACCTCCGGTTGGTGCTATTTGAGCATAACCTTGAGCTGGTTGTCCTCCTGCGGGCTGACCATAACCAGAAACTGGCTGACCACCTTGCTGGGGATAGGCAGATACAGCAGCAGGTGGCGGCTGATTATAACCATCGGTAACAGATGCAGAACCATATGGGGGTTGATAAGTTTGCTGTGTGGGCCCACTTGACGCGTAGGGGTATGTCTGCTGAGGTGGCACATTTTGACCATAAGGAGGCTGGGTCGATGAGATGGGACCTTGATAAGGCATATCACCTGGTTGACTAGCTCGAGGCTGACCATAGACATGGGAAGGAGGTCCATGTGGTGGCATGCCATAAGATGGTGCCTGCTGAGCATAGCCTGAATGAGTGCCTTGAGAATAACCTCCTGACTGTGAATCTCCTCCATAGGAATGATGACTCGGAGCCTGGTTTTCATATTTTGTTTCGTTGTATCCCTGGCCGTAACTCTGAGGAGGTGCAGATTGGGAATATGGAGCTTGCTGATACTCCGGACCATGTGGCTGTCTGTAATTGTAATTTCCCTGTGAAGAAGGTGGGCCCATAGGGGTAGGGGAAGGGCCAGGACCATGAACAGGATTAGATGACGGTGCATCAACCATATGACCTTGTCCGCCATAATAGTCATAGCCACCACTTTGGGGTGGGGGGCCTTGCATTGTTGCTGGAGGCCTTTGCTCCCATCCCGGACCAAAGTTACTTCTTGAAGCCACTTGTTGTGGGCGATAATTACCATACGATTGAGGAGGATACTGTGAATTCTGAGAAGGATATGGCCCACGTTGCGGATAATCATACCCCATTGGCTGCGCATGATGTTGACCTCGGGGTCCCCATTGTGGCGGACCAGCTGGCCCACGTGGTCGAAACCCCTGCTGACCGCCAGAGAGAGGAGACGGCCTTACAGACTAATCAATGCAATAAAGAAGGGAAGAAAAAAACAAAAACAAAAAAACATAAGTTAGCAACTTTTTACTCGATCTATTTAAATAAATATGATACTGTTGATCAATAAGAAACAAAAGGAAATTGAATGAAGAAGTTGCTGCTTCAGATCCAGTTCCTGATTATACAATGGAGGTGCTCATGGTTGTCAGTTTGTCACAAACACAGCAGTTAGAGTAGCAAACATACAAGAATACAATGACAAAAACCGTAATATCAACCCACATAAGCTAACAAATAGAAATGGTTGAATAAGATACAGAGATCTGGAAAGCCAAAGGAACAAAGCATTTGCAGAAGAAATTGAAGAAATTTGTGCACATTTATGCTCAAAATTTACATTGGTACCAATCCAAATGTGCCAAAACAAAATAAAACAGATAACATTGACAAATGATGAAGTGAAATAAAAGAAAATAATTCACCCAAAAAAGAAATAAAAGAAAATCAAACAAAAGCGCACTGGCTTAGCTCGTGTTTGTGCTATAAGGACATGTTAGAGACATTCAAGTGTAGGAACCAAATTCTTACATGTACCAAAAGAAACAAACAGCAGAACCATGAAACACAATTCTTTTCTCAAACTGCAACAAAATATATACACATCACATTCCAAATCTTCTGAAATTCAAAACCCTCATCCAGAAAATAATGCTAACATCCACTTTCCACTGTTTCAGGAAAACTGAAGAAAAAACAGGACATATCAACAATGAGCAAAAGTTACACATGCACAAATCAGATTATGGCCGAATTAGACACTTACACCCATCAACTCTTAGATGTGCAACTTCTTACCAGTTCAAATTTCTAGTCGCTAGCCACTGTACTTGACTTGTTGCTCCTTGCAACTCATGTCCCAACACTAATGTAACACAACTGCGACCCTCAACAGCTTCAAAATGTGCAAAATTTACATCAACTTCGACTGCCCACAAGTTTCAACACGAGCACATTTATGCTGGGAAGTTAATGTCCCTAAGAATACTATGTATTATTTTGCAGCAAACAGTATCCAAATCATGCCCAGAACTTCAAATGCTCAACTGACGAAGTCATCAATGATAGTTTCATGTCAAACAACACTGTGTTTGCAATCTATGAATCGTGTAAAAAATGATTCTAGAAATCTCCTAGTAACATCAACCTTTAGCAGATGAAAATGATTCGCAATGAATTATAGCCAGAAGCATGGTGTAGAAGCACCAACCAGTAGTTTTGGACAAAAATATATGGGACCCTAATTGATGATCTCCAGCACAGATTTTGGCCAGCATATCAAATATGAAGTAAAATTGAAGGTTTTGAACAAATAAAAAGAATATGGAGGGGGCAAAAACATTTGCATTTCAAGTACCATAAAAATCAGTCATCATCAAACAGAAGATTGCATACGAGCTCTTTCAGAATTCTTAGACAACAGAATGCCAACATTGATTTTGACTTCAAATAAATGATTTGCTAACATTGTGCAAAGCTCAATGCAAAAAGAACATACCATATCCTTCAAGTGTTTCAGGATAGATCAGATCAAATTTGGGAAATATGAATCTTACACAAACTTGAAAAATGATGACTTAGCCAGGCATGACACTATTGACCAACAAGTCTCATGCATAGAAAAATGGGGACACTAGAGGACTAAGACTAACACAACATGGTGGTAGTAATACTATTTAGTTTTAGTTTTAAGTCTCAAAGCAAATCTTACCAACTATTAACATCCTGCAATCGCGAGAGTTAATGCCTGATACCTCTCTTCAGTAGATGAGAGTGAATAGTGGTTGTTTATTGCTACACCAAGAAGGAAATGCTGACACCATGAGGAAGGCAATAGCCAAATCTGCACTTTTAAAAGCCAACCAATTCGAAATCGGCACCTTCAATATAAATAAATCAAGGTAACCCTCAGTTTGAATATAAGATCTTCCCAACTGCAGTCAGATGACCTTTAGCATGGATCATTCATCAATATCGCTAACCCTCATGAATTCTAATGAAGCTCTCACTCCAATACACAACTATGCAACAATTCTTTCTTCAACAGATGAAAAAGCCCGACTAAAGCAACACAATATATAGGAACCGTTACATGTACATGCAATTATCCAAACATGTAATTATATCATGACAGTAAATTGATATATCGGTTTGGCATATAGAACAGCTAATACTGTGTAAAATCTGTACATCAGCTTAATGAAGACCAAATCAGCAAATTTTTGTAGTACCTTACCCCAGTTTTAGCTACTCAAACCTACAAAAAAATTTACAATGCATAATACTCACATGCCTTCGGATATGACATCATCTCAACCAACCAACAGTAGTACTGATCAAGAATACTTTCATGTAACATGATAAGTGCTCAGCCTATCTTTACACAAGGGATGACCAAGCAATGCATGTTCTCTATCTCTCTCTCTCTTTCTCTCTCATTTTCTGAAAACATACTGCCAATATAATCATCAACCATGCTAAACACTGACGAAAGAATCTCTTTTTCTTTTCTTTTTTGTAAGTGATAAGAGAAGCTGAACCTAGTTGGAAAATAGATAGGTCCACATATGCTTCTAGAGAAATCCACAGATAGCACACAAGGCCCTAGTTAAGATAAGATGGTTTAATGTGGTACATTAAAAGAGTTTGACACAATTTATAACACAGACCATGACATTTTACAGATGTGATAGCAACAAATGAAAGGAAAATATATATATATATAAGTTACAAAATAACATACTACTGGGGTAAGATGTAATATCTTCAAGCAAACACGTGCAAGAGTAGGTCGATCCATGCTATTCTTTATTTATATCTCATTACATAAGGCCCCAAATCCTTATGAACTATTGATTAACATTTAACATTTTACCATTTTTCACAAAACCAAACCAAGAAAAAAACATGCTGCGATTCAGAACAGTAATTCATGAAAGCAAACTTGATCATATATTTAATAAGAAAATATGAAAAATAAAATGTTACAATCATCTCCTGCAAGGAGCATACCAAAGATACAGTCTATAAAGGTGAACAATTGATAAGATAATGCTTCAATAATTCAGTTTCTAGTTGTCAAGAGGATCAGGAGTCAACAAAAAATTACTTGTGATGTAACAATTAATAAGTAAGGAGAAATAACATCCACTTCAATTTACTCAAAGGAAAGGTGAAACGTTGAAACAAACCTGACTCATAACTTCCTTTATCATTTCTCTTGCCATCTCAATCTGCTTCTTATCACCAGACACACGCACTGTCCTTTCCTTAGATTGGTCCCCTTCAGGAAGATGTTGTGGTATCAACTGAACAAAACGACATTGTCAGTATTTGTAAAACGATATTTAACTCTTATTAAGGAGTCTACAGCCATGTTTGGTTTGTATTTGTGAAAAAATTTTGAAAAATAATTTTCTATAAAGTGCTTACATTGTCAGTATTTGTAAAATGATATTTAACTCTTATTAAGGAGTCTACAGCCATGTTTGGTTTGTATTTGTGAAAAAATTTTGAAAAATAATTTTCTATAAAGAGCTTACAAAATTTGAAGATTTGTTTAGTTGTATGTTTTGAAAATAGTTTTAGAGTTTGGAAATTTTTTTTTTTTTAAATTTGGGAATTTTTTTTTTTTTTTTTTTTTTTTTTTGTAGTTGAATAGATGGATGTGAGAAAAAAAGTAACCGATTGATGTATAATAGAGAAAAAAGTGATTTTGAATTTTCTTTTTAAAAAAATTCAACCAAACAAATTTTTGAAATTTTTGAAACCAAACAAGGCCTACACCTCTGTTAAAAAGCCTTCTACTTATTCTCACATACATCTCAGCGCAAGACTACCTGAATGCGTGCCCCTGATCTTGTCTGTAGGCTTTTAATAGTCTCCCCACCTTTTCCTATGATTACACCAACCTAGAACAGAAGAAAGTTGAGATACGGCAGGGTCAGAAAGAAGCAATAGAGAGACAGAGTGGAAACCACAAAAAAAGAAGACAAAACTAACCTTCTCATTCGGAACTTGTATGAGAATTTGATCTGCAGCCCCAGCAGCCTGTACAGTACTGAAGCCCCTAGCCACAAGGGCAGGGGAACCCCCAGCATCAGCCTATAAAAGCATAAGCATGGCTTTAGCAAAAGGAAAATTCAGAACTACTATCACCAAAAACAAATCGTTACATCAAAAGAACAAAGTACACACTGGTTAACCATAAACAAAAAGTGGGAGCAATTAAGGAGTGGAAGAAAGAAAAAGAGAACAAATCAAACAACATGAGACCTCTTCTATAACATCCTTAATCAGTTTTTCAGCCTTGTTTATATTTTCCAAAGTTCCTATTAGTTCCACAGGCCTGGTGGAAGAATAAGGATCAGCTTCACCATCCCTTGTGATCTGAATCTTGGCACCTGAATTGATTTGCAAAAACCGTATAGTATCCCCAGCCTTGCCAATGAGAACTCCAACCTGCACCAACATTTGCACAACAATCATTGAGGAAACACCTTAAAGAATATAGAAGCTTGCTAATTCCATAGATCAAAGCAGACTAAATGTTAAATGTTCATGAGCCGTATGGTGAAACAGAAGAAGATGGTCACTAAACATGCCCTTCCTCTGATGCAGTAGACAGCTCATATACAACTAATGATTATTTTCCATCACTCAAGGGCTCAAAATTAATATCATTTTCACAAATAACCCTGTATTTATTAAACCAATTAGTTCTCTGATCTGCGTCAGGTTCCATCCATCAAATTAGTCCATCAATCAAATCTACAACAAATTAAGGGCTGATTTGGCATAGACTATATAATCAATCTTTTTATCTTTTTTTATCACATCACCTCTCTCCTCTTCTCCACATCTTTTCTTAAAAAGACAAAAAGTGCACTTTTTTAGGACACCCACAAACCAACCCTAAATTTCTCCTTCCCTTTCCTTTTTCTTTTTTCTTTTTTTTGTGGGCAGGGGTGTTTGGGTGAGAGGAAGGTTGATCTATCCTGCTTCAAATTTAGCTTCTTCTTAATAATAACAATAATAATAATCAGGCGCTAAACCCAACCAATAATGTTCCTCTACAACATCAGAAGAACCCGAATTGGGTATACAGTAATATTTTAAATTCACCTTATTATTAGGAACCTCCATTTTCCGTGACATTGTTTGAGTCTCAGACACAGGTTGCTCTTCCGCAGAAGAAAAATCCCCTTGTTGAGGAACTTCTGCTGAGGGTGGTTCCTGAAGCTCCCCTCCGGATGGCTCTTCCAGAGCACTTTCCAACTGTGGATTTGCAATGGAGGGTGGCTGAGTGTCCTCTTTCTCGTGATCATCAGTAGAAGGAAATTGTTCACTGTTCACGGTCTCCAAAGCTCCCTCTGTAGGCTGCTGAGTATCCGTTGACTCGGTATTATTATTCTCCACAGATGGCTTTTCAGGATCCTCCTCCACAAGTTCATCCACCTTCTCTTCTTGTACTCCGTTCTCAACTACTACCACATCTGAAAAAACAAACAGTTATACATAAAATTTACAATTCAATCAAGAAATTTAGTGGTATGAATCCAGAAACAATATATACACACGTCCACACAAACTCAAGACCCTTTCCTTCCCTTCCAATTAGAACTTGACAGGATATCAAAATTAACTTTTTTTTCCACAATGTATCTTCTTTGAAAACAAATGGAATCACATAAGAGCTCAGTTTCAAGATTTTTATATGAAAAATTCAATCTTTAAGGGTAAAAATTTCCGCATAAATAAATAGAAGCAATCTAAGTACATGTTCCCATGAAAACAGTAGAAACAGAGAAAATGCATTCTGTCTAAAAAACTAGTGCGACAAAACCACAATGCCAAAACCCTAGACACGCAATCGCACCAAATCTAGCAGAGAAATGAAGACAATACCTGAGCCCTTGAGATTCTCCTCCAAACGAGGTCGTTTCGCTTCGGACTCGTCGCAACCACCACCTTCGACAGCCTCCTCCTCCTCTTTCTCCTCCACCTCCTCCTCAGCTCTCTTGATGGAGTCCGATTCGTTATCGTTCGCATTTGAGTCGGCTATCAGTGTTTCAGGCTCCAAATCTTCATGCTTGCGCTTGTGATCCAACGGCAGAGGACTTGCCGCCGCCGCCGCAACCTCTTCCTCCGCCATGGGGAAATCGGGCAACTAGGGTTAGGGTTTCAACAGAGTGCTGGTCTGAAAATAAGACTTATGAGAGAGAGAGAGAGAGAGAAGGGGTCTAGGTCTAGATGAGAAGCCAATAGATGTGGCTATATATGTAGTTATATTACTTATTACATGAGGATGTGGGCCTCCGGCTCAGATATTTTTTTTATTAAGGAATCAAATTAATCCATTAAAATTTGAGTGCTGATGTATCTATCAGTGTATTAATTAATATATTAAGAGTTGATTTTGGATATTTTAAAAAAATATATTTTTTAATTTATTAATTTATATAGATTGGGTTTAGATTATGTTTGATGTGATGTGTTAGAGAGATGATGTGATTTAAATAAAATAATATGACTTAAATAGGATAGTGACTTTTTGACTTTTTGTATTATTTAGGCCTAGTTTGGGAAGACTAAATAAGTGCACTTTTTGACTTTTTATGAAATATGGGTTGGGTTTGGGTTGGGTTTGAAGTGATGTGACTTTTTGACTTTTTGACTTTTTTCAATCATTCCAAACTT